ATATAGAACTAATATACTTATTGCATGTATTCCTTACTATAGAACTAATATATAGAACTATATATATATATATAGTATATATTTATATATATATATTATATGTACTTATGCATGTATTCCTATATATTCCTATATATATAAATATAGGCAAGTATTCGTATATATATATATATATATATATATATATGTGTGTGTGTGGTGTGTGTCTGTGTGTGTGTGTATGCGTGTGTGTGGGTGGGTGGTGGTGTCTGTGTGTGTGTGTATGCGTGTGTGGGTGGGTGGGTGGGTGTATATATATATATATATATATACTTTCATTCAAACAAATATATAGGCCACAAATAGCCTCATGGTCGTTTTGCACTCCATACATATCCAGGTCAACCCTGAGCGCCAAACATACGAGCCTGTGTGGCATGTCCAGCCACTTACTACAATCGAAGATCACACCAACCCCAACGCTGTGCTGAAGTCTCTGAGCGATTCTTTTGGTGACGAACAGCGTAAAACAAAAGGTTTCAGTTTCACCACGATTATGGACTATCATAACGCGTTCAAGGTATGACTTTTTATATTGGGCTTTGGATTTAGTTCTTAATCCTGGTCATCTTTATAAGGCTTGGTATGACATTTTCTCACAAGCCTCTGTAGTCTGATCTGATTCTGATGATCCGTGGGTACGTCGTGATGTACTTTCTGTGAATATTTGTCATCTGTTCGGGTGTTTAGGCGAGTCCTTCACGTTCAAGGATTATAAAGACACCAGTGACGTGCATGCGGCACTGACGTGAGCGCAATCACACGCGTAACCAGTCGCACAGTTCTTGCCATTCTCATGTTGTTTGTATTCCACTCACTAATATTCGCAAACTCGGCTCATTTGGCAAAACGGTACAACATAGCGGAGCGATTTGTACGCAACTGACATACGAGTGGGTTATCTCTACTCTATCAGTCAGGTGCGATCACTCCCACTGATGTGGCGACGCAGTTCATCGAGACCGTTCAGAAATGCAACGGGCACAACATGAACATCTTCATATCCTTAAACGAGGTAAGACTTTTTGACTATTCATAAGGGCACAACATGAACATCTTCGTATTCTTAAACGAGGTAAAACTATTTGACTATTCATAAGGGCACAACATGAACATCTTCATATCCTTAGACGAGGTAAGACTATTTGACTATACGTAAGGGCACAACATGAACATTTTTATATCCTTAATGAGGTAAGACTATTTGACTATTCGTAAGGGCATAACATGAACATCTTCATATCCTTAAACGAAGTAAGACAATTGGCTATTCATAAGGGCACAACATGAACATCTTCATATCCTTAAACGAGGTAAGACTATTTGACTATACGTAAGGGTACAAGCAGTGTGTTGAGAGCAACTGCATATCTGTGTGCTCGAGACGGCCATGAGCTCAAACCCATCGCACAGCGCACACAGAGATTGATTGATATGTGATATTTCAGTAGATTTTACTAGGCACGATCATGCATGGGTATCCAGACTTGTAAACGCGTATTGGTATCTGCATACCATGTATTTGAAATGAGACGTATATTGTGTGTCTAAGACAAGTGAAAGGGGGGGGAGGGACACTCTGATTTCTACCTTGTGTCTAGTACACGTATAGCTTTGAGCGCCTGCACCAAAAGTTATGCTATCGGTGGGCTAATCAAGACCGTAGAACCTGCGCTTACTCGATAGTGTCGTTACTGTGTCCTGTCAAATCTTACATACGATACATGCTCGCATATACAACACGATGACTCCATATAAGCAATAGCCGCTTGCAATCCACACAAGCAACCGCGTGCTGTCGTTGGTGTGGTATGCGTTTACCGACCAGTTCAACTGGGAAACTCTCACATACGTCAATAGAAAGTCAACCCGATAGTTTTACGCACAATTCTCAATTGTGCTCGCCACTCCGTTGTTGTACACGCGTAGGCCGATCTCCTAAACCAGGCCTCCGCCTCTACCGAGCGCTATGCGAGTGGCAACTATCTCTCAGTGCTGGACGGTGTGCCTGTTGTGGCCAAGGACTGCACAGATGTTAAGGGATACGTTAGTACACACGGCGTGAAGTCCATGAAGGTAAGTACAACCTCATATATGGGTGCAGTGCTTACTCGTATTCAGGTGCAATACGCACCGATATATAGCTACAATGTGCACCGATTAATAGGTACAATACAACCGTATAGTAAACTACAATACATACTCATACTTGGTTGCGTTACGCACCGATAAACAGGTGTAATACAGTCGTAAATTAAGGTGCAGCATATACTCATATCCAGGCGTATTACGTACCTGTACTTTGGTGCAATACAGTCGAATACT